ACCACTCACGCAGCTCCTGTGGGGAGAGTGGCTCCCGGCGAGACGAAGCACCCCCAGGCACAGCACCTCCAGGCTCAGCACCCCTAGACACAGCACCCCCAGGCACGTCACCCCCAGGCTCAGCACCCCCAGGCTCAGCAACCCCAGGCTCAGCACCCCCAGGCTCAGCACCCCCAGGCACAGCACCCCCAGACTCGGCACCTCCAGACTCAGCACCCCCAGGCACAGCACCCCCAGGCTCAGCACCCCCAGGCTCAGCACCCCCAGACTCGGCACCTCCAGGCTCAGCACCCCCAGACTCCGCACCCCCAGGCTCAGCTCCCGCAGCAGCACCAGAGTCACCAGTGACCTCGACAGGCTCGACCGCGTCTACCTGGGACACACCTGAAGGGGCAGGACCCTGAGGGGGGAGGGGGACTACCGGGGGGGGACCTGGTACCAAGAAGAGCGGGGGTGGGGGGAGGGACGGAGTGCGGTAGGGGAAGAGGCGGTAGTAGGGTACCGACTCGTCGAACGTGACGTCCTGGGAGGACAGAACACGTCGAGAGGTGGGGTGGTAAAACTGCCACCCAGGGGCGTCGGGGGGGAACCCCAGGAAGACGCAGGGAGAAGCACGAGGGGATAGCTTGTCCGCAGACAGGTCGCGAACAAACGCCCGAGATCCCCAGACCCGGAACGCCGACGCATCGCCAACCTTCCCCGTCCACAGCAGGGCTGGGGAGGTCTCCGGTCGAGAGACCCTGGGGTGGAGGTTGATCTGGTGCGCAGCGTACCTGACCGCAAACGGCCACAGAAAATGGGGAGCAGCCGCATGCATCATGGACGTACGAGCGACGTCCATGACCATGCCAATGCGGCGCTCAGCAATCCCATTCTGCTGCGGTGAGTCCGGAAGCGTGAAGGTCTGACGGATGCCTCGCGCACGACAGTAGGCACTCAGGAGGCCAGAGGAGAACTCTCCGCCTCTGTCCGAGTGCAGACGCAAAACAGGGAAGTCAGAGCCAAAGCTCCTCCGAAGCTGGAGACGAGCTGCGCGGATCCAGTCGATCAACACCGCAGTGACCTCACCCTTGCTGCGCAAGGGGAAGACTGTGGTGTAACGCGAGTAGTCGTCAACCACCAGCAGGAAGTAGCGCTCCTGACCCTGTCCACGGACGCGGGCTGGGCCCCACACATCCATGTGAAGCGTCTGCAACGGGGCCTCTGTCGGAGGAAACTGGGAGGAGTGAGGGGCAGCACGCTGGCGCCCCTCGACACAGGGGACACAGGTGGGGCCAGGGCCCGGAGGAAGGGGAGGGAGAGACCGGGGAAGACCAGACACAAGGACTCGCGAGGCCATGCCTCTGAGCCGAAGCAGAGAGGGGTGGCCAAGGCGGTGGTGCCAGAGGAGGGTCTCGTGAGACAAACGACGGCACGAGCAGGGGGCAGACTCAGGACCAGACCTGGACGCTGCAGCAAACACCTGACCAGACGAAGTGACCCTACCAGACTCAGCACCTGGAGGAGAAGCAGTGGTCAGAGTGTACAGGCTCGACCCTGGCCGACGTGTAAACGTAGCCAGGTGGCGACCTGTATCCGCCTCCGTGCAGTGGGTCACCCGCTGACGAGCAGGGGTGAACTGGTGGACACCCGCATCCTGGAGGTCAGCACCACTCACCAAGTTCGTCGAGAACGAGGGGAGGTAGAGACCAGTCAGGGTGCCAGAGGGGGCCGCCGGACACGGGAGGACAGTGGAGAAGCGAGACAGGACAGGCCCCCCAGAGGGGTCAGCCAGGGACACCGCAACCGGCCGACTCAGCGGCGTGAGAGTGGTGCGGTCCCGAAAGAAGGAGCGAGACGCTCCAGAGTCAAGGGTGAAGGTGTGAGAGGCCGAAGCCGACACAGTACCTGAGAGGGCAGACTCACCAGCACCTGAGAGCACAGACGCACTGGCACCTAGAGCAGCAGCCTCACTAGTACCTGACGCGGCAGTACCAATGCCCGGGTCGGGCGGGAAACACCGGTAACAGTCATCCTCATCACTACCAATCGCAGCATACATAGCAGAGAGAATAGCATCAAAATCAAGATCATAAATAGCTACACCAGCCCTAGACAGCTCTCCCCAGCGGGGGATCTCAGCTGCCTCCGGAAACTGCTGACGCCAGGCGTCAGTCAGGCGGCCAAAGCAGCGGCGGGCAGTGTGGGCGCCTCCACACCTCTCCCCTGCACGGTCACCGGTGCGGAGAACGTAGGGGCAAGGACCAAGCGCACCACCACGCTGACGCTGCGAGTACCACTCACGGAGCTGCTGAGGGGCGGGGACGGTGCGAGAGCGCTGCTGCTGCTGTGGCTGCTGCTGCGGCTGCTGCTGCTGCTGCTGCTGGCGCTGACCACCCCCGGAGCTGCTCCGCTGGGACGAGCCACTCCGACCCCCGCCTCCACTGCCACCCCCGCCTCCACCGCCACCCCCGTCTCCACCTCCACCTCCCCCACCAGGACCGTCGCTCCCACCGCTCCCACCGCCTCCTCCGCTACCACCTCCGCCGCCACCTCCGCCTCCACCGCCGCCACCAGTACCTCCACTCCCGCCACCACCCCCACCGCCACCCCCACTCCCCCCGCCACCCCCACCGCCTCCTCCACCGCCCCCTCTAGCTCCACCCGCTCCCTTGCCCCCCTTGCCCTTGCCAGCGCGGCGTCTGCCGCTGGGGGCAGACGCCGCGCCGACCGACTCAAAACCAGTGAGGTCGGCCGCAGCGGCAGAGGCGACAGAGGGCAGCAGGGGGGAAGGACCACACCCCTCAAAGATAGGGGTGCGAGGGTCACCCCGAGAGGCCCCTACAGCGACAATACTCTTCTCAGCCGCTAGCAGGGACTCCTCAAGGAGGTCGACAGTGAGAGTGGTGGGACAGACAGAGAGAAACTGGTCCCTAACGACACGAAGGGACTCAGGGAGACGGGTGACGAGAAAGTAGAGAGTGATGTACATGGGAGGAGGGTTCGCAGCGCGGAACTCAGCAGGAAGGGCAGCGCGGTAGCGGGTGTCACTAGCACGGAGGTGGGTAACGAGGTCAGCGACAGTGGGAAAGGAAGCGAGGTCAGGGAAGAGAAACGGTAGCATGAGGCGGCTAAGGGTAGCGGAGGAAGGGGAGGAGTAGCGTGCAACTACAGCGTCGTACAAGGCCTGAGCGGTCTTGCACTGACTAAAGTGGGCACGCTCAGAGGAAGGGAGGTGGCGACGCACAGCAAGACGTGCAGCAGCATCGCGGGTCGCCCACTTGGAGCGAACGGCAGAGTCAGCATCAGCAGGTGGGGCAGGGACAGCGCCAGAGACAAAGTCAAAGAGAGAGACCTCATCTATCGCATCACACAGTAAGTACAGCTGCAGGTCTTCAATCCAGACGGCAAAGTCAATGGCCCTCCCCTCAGCGTCAAAGGTAAGAACATTGGGGGTGGCCATGACAGCAGCTGAAAATCTCACCGGGCTGGGAGAGGCGGGTAGGTCAGCAGCAGAGGAACAGCAGCACGGCTCCGCAGGCGGCTCGGGCGGCGCGGGCGGCTCGGCGGCGGCTCGGGCGGCGGCTCGGCGGCGGTTCGGCGGCGGCTCGGCGGCGGCTCGGCGGCGGCTCAGGCGGCGGCGGCTCGGCGGCGGCTCGGCTGCTGCTGGGCGGCGCGGGCGGCTCGGGCGTCACGGGCGGCTCGGCGGCGGCTCTGGCGGCTCGGCGGCGGCTCGGGCGGCGGCTCGGCGGCGGCTCGGCGGCGGCTCGGCGGCGGCTCGGCGACGGCTCGGCGGCGGCTCGGCGGCGGCTCAGGCGGCGGCGGCTGCTGCTGGGCGGATCGGCGGGGCCGCGTAGCAGAGTGGCGGCGGGGCCGCGACCGAAGAGAGCGGCGGGGCCGCGTAGCAGAGGGCGGCGGGGCTGCGTAGCAGAGGGCGGCGGGGCCGCGACCGAAGAGAGCGGCGGGGCCGCGTAGCAGGGGGCGGCGGGGCCGCGTAGCAGAGGGCGGCGAGGCCGCGTAGCAGAGGGCGGCGGGGCCGCGATCGAAGGGCGGCGGGGCCGCGTAGCAGAGGGCGGCGGGGCCGCGTAGTAGAGGGCGGCGGGGCCGCGTGGCAAAGGGCGGCGGGGCCGCGATCGAAGGGCGGCGGGGCCGCGTAGCAGAGGGCGGCGGGGCCGCGTAGCAGAGGGCGGCGGGGCCGCGTAGCAGAGGGCGGCGGGGCCGCGAGGCAGAGGGCGGCGGGGCCGCGTAGCCGAGGGCGGCGGGGCCGCGATCGAAGGGCGGCGGCGGGGCCGCGTAGCAGAGGGCGGCGGGGCCGCGATCGAAGGGCGGCGGGGCCGCTAGGGAAGGGCGGCGGAGCCGCGAGGGGAAGGGCGGCGCAACGGTCCGCTAGGGGCGACACGACGGGTCGCTAAAAAAAAAAACGCGCCTCGGGGCGCGGTTCGGTGGGCCCTAGAAGCAGTCCCTAGGAGGGAACCTGCTCTGATTCCATGTGGAAACAAAGAACGAGGATGGAATGACTATGAACGAAGTGAGTACAAATAGGAAACCCTAATTGGGTTGTACCCCCTATGGGATACCCCACTATAGCCTACAGAAACAAGTAAGCTATAAGTTCTGACACTATTGTCTCACCCCCTTACATGCACCCACTGGCCGCCTGATGCTCGAGTGGGAACAGACATACAACTACTGCCAGTCCGCCACCCGAATGTCCGTCGAGCGCACCATCGGTCAGTTTAAAGGCCGCTACCGCCTTTTCGCCGGCCGACACGACTATGCGCTATGGCGCGTACTCGCCGGGGCCAGTTGTGTCGTAATCCTGCACAACATGGAGATTCCGATGGCCGGTTCACGGATGAAAAACCCGAACCACAAATGGGAAGCAATTGCACTCAACCGCGACCCATGGTGGACGAGGGGCGAGCTTGCTGTGTACAACTGGAGTGCATGTGAGACAGGTACGCAGGCGGAGCTGAAAGAGCGGCGTAAGAGGCTTGGCATGACCCTTCACGACGCTTACCTTAAGCGTCGTCGCCGCGACGCCACTCTTCAACCCCGTCACTGAGGTCAGCATTGGTGTTGCCCTCGCTGCCCTCACGGTTGTAATGCCAGCTGTCATCGTCGCCGTGGCGGGATCCCGAGAAGTGAAGGGGGCGACTGGTCTGCGACTGCTGCGTCGCCATCCACTCCCGAATCACCCCAGTTATCTGCGCCACGCCATCAGCCGAGCACTGCTTGAGAGTGTCGGATAAGAGCTGGGCGACCGCCATGGTTGCCGTCTCGTGGACCCTACGACGAGCACTAGGTGGGGTGCGACGCACTTCTGACACGAAGGACATAGATAGGGTATTGTATGTCATAAAGAATGTTAGTAATGTATGTTAATGCTAATAAGAGCTGGATATCAATAAAACAACCACGATCTATGTTGGAACATGCAGAGTTATACATTGATAGCAATACGTACCCGTGGTGCCCGTAGCATCGGTCTTCGAGGGCGTGACGACTTTCACACCCGGGTCAACATTGACCTTAACCGCACCGCCGCCGTCAAGGGCGTGAGGCTCTGCAGCTGCCGTATCCTTATAAAAAAGCACCATCCACTCCCACCACGGTGGCTTAATCACCGTCCCCCCACCCGAAGCGGAGTCGCCCTTGTCGATTTGCTTCCACAACGCCTTCAACCGCTTCCACTGGTTAGTGCATGCTAAGGCGTTCCGACTCCAATCAGGGTGTTGCAGTTTGATACGCTCGATTAGCCGGAGCCAATACTGCGACCCCTGCTTGCCCGTCATCTGTTGCAGCTCGTCCTTCGTAAACCACCGCGCGGCCACGAGAACGGTCGACTCCTTGGGTGACCACTCCAACCGTTGGCCTTTCTGCGCAATGCCGCTCACTGACGTCTCGTTAGGCGACTCTGGCTGTGCTTTAGCCTTGCCGTTACGCTTTGCCCTGGCGTGTGGGCTCGGATCAGCCCCGTCCCGAACAGCGTGGGTGGCGTTCGCGGTCTGCTCAGCCGGACCGTTGTACTGAACGTCCCCATGCCATGCAGCAACGGGATGTTCCCCGTCCGACCCTTGCTCCAGATCCTCGTCCTCAGAGTCCTTCTCCGGAAAATCCTCGTCAGTGTCGTAGTCGGTCACGTGTGGACCTTGAGTGCGATGCGGATTGACGGTCGATTGCGCTGGCGTTGAGCCGGTGGCATGGACGTTACGAAGGGGCTTCGTGGTAGGTCTCCCTGATGCAAGTTCCGCATTCATCCACTTCACGTAGGCCAGGTCTTCCGGTCGCCACAAGTATTCCTCTGTCGCGCCGACATTGCTTTTGCGTTTGCGAGCCATGCTAGGAAGTTCTAGTGCCTGCATAACACAACCTGCGTGGTCGAGTGGATTATGTACGCATGTGTCGATCCTGGTGTTTGAGTTCGTTTGTGCGGATTTGTTTGTGAGTGAGACGGGAAACTCTGAACTTGCTGGCTAAACGTGGCGTGAAAGAGGCGCCAAAGATCTTTCCCGTTGCGCCAATCATCCAATGTTTGACAAATTGTGCAACTATGGCACGTCCAGACGTGCACAGACCAGGTCGCGTCACCTTCGTGCGCAGGTTAGGATGTCGGCAGACAGGCAATGGCATCTGCATGCGGGTCTACTCCAACCGTGCACAGGTGAGTCAGCACGACCATGCGAGGCCAAGCGAATGTTGTGATTTGTGCACAGTTTCGGTACAGGGCTGACAAGAGGTGTTGTATAACGTTGTCTGCAACTTTTTCATTATCTGATATGAGGTAGCTCTGATAGGAGGCTGTAGGAACACGCCCTAAGGCCTGCTATATTCCAATCGAGGTACTACAATGTCGAGAGCCTAAATGTAGCCCATGTACAGCACTGTTCATCGAACCACGAATGTTCCTCCTTCGTTACCACTCACCTCTTCGCTTGCCGTGCGCCACCCCAACACACGCTCGTCTCGCAGTAGATCTGTAATGAATGTGAATTCATTACTGTAGAGGCTACTCCTAGCGAGGACAGCCCGAACTATTCGCGTCAGTTTGGGTTCGGCCTACACTTCGGCCCGAACCACTTCCGAGTCGCCCCGCACCAATCGCGACACTTCCAACCCATCCACGTCCTGAGGTCCTCGCCTACCACGCTTTTGACCCTATAAATGCTTCCTTCTTTATCATTCTCATCATTCTATAGTTCTCATCCTTTTTATAAAGTCTTCCGCGCACTCTTCTTAGTACAACTCATAACACTTGGTATCAGAGCCTAAGTTCCTAGGTTCCCCATTTTTTAGAGTGTATTACCCCTCGGGGGGGGGACAGGGAAGGATGCCGTGGTGACAGGAGCAGCGCAGTAGCCGGCCAGGAGAACAGATAGTTGCTCCTAGCGGCCATGTTTTTACGGGCGCTCCTGCTGCACCGACGGATCCTTGCCCTCGACGGTCGAGATGGACCGTGGCCTCCCCCCCCCCCGGGTGGCGGACAGCTTTTGCTGTTGTCGCATTTAATTGCGTGAGTTAATTTCGTCGTTTCCGTTAATCTCGACGCTGTTTTTATGCGGCAGTTGGCGTCAGGACGGTTGTCGTCACTGCATGCGCGAGATTCTCGGAGCAGCTGGTTGGCGAGTTGAAGTTTTCACGTGGTCGTCAACTGCGCACGAAGAAATCGGAGTTAATGCGTGCGGCAAGTGGCGTCAGGCGTTTTCGTCAAGTTGCGCACGAGAAACACGGAGGTCTTCGGCACGTTGTGAGCATCGTTACTGTGCTCGAAGATTTCGGGTGGCTTCACGGCAGAAACGACAGCTGGCCGGACAGGCCAGGCGCATGGTGATTTGCATCGGAAAATGCAAACGGCGAGGAGAGACGGCGTGACGACTGCCCGAAGAAAGCGGGGGTCTACCGTCGTTCCGCCCGGGTGTGGCCGGTGTGGCTGCAGGAGGGTGCGTCTTTGGCGTTTTCGGCAGGTGCGGCACAGTGTGGGACGGAAGTTTTTTTCGAACCGCCGAAAAGTTCGGAAAAGGCCGCCTACAACTAGACTGTCTACGTTAGGGTCACTTATGCGCCTGCAACAAGGCCGGCCGAAATTTTCGGAGCAACAGCAGCAGCCGACACTGTACTTCATGCGGCACAGGTTCCCCCTGATCAAGGGAAGTTACGCCGCAGACAGGGCAGTACACCGACGGGACAACGGTTTATCGCAGCGTCTAGACCCGCGAATTTCGCCTGGTCTACCGGTCACAATAAACGGAGTTGCGACAAATACGGGTCTGGCGAGAGAAACGGATTCCGAGCTTCGGGAGGGGCGAAAACGACCTACTGCGACGACTTTTTGCTGAGGGCCGAGTTTTGCGGCTAAGCGGCGGTAGCAGAAGGAGCTCCCTACAGGCCAAAGTCTACCGACGTTTCACATACCTCACGCATAGAAGGCCTCGAAGGCAAGGAGTAAGTCCTATTGGCCACTCGATCCAAAGGTGGGGCCCTGTGTTTAGCCCTGTGCTGGCTAAAAAGCACGGGTATTATGCCAGTTCGACAGCTGGGCGTACAAGAAATTTTCTGGGAGCGACACTGTTTCGGCCCCGACAAAACCGGACCATCGGCAGCAGTTACCCCGCCGAAAAAGTCGGAGCTGAAGCAGTTGGTGCAGCTGTCGGAGTTTCTCCTGATTCAACGGTCTACCCGACGGCGGTGTAGCGGCGAAGAAGGGGTTTCCGAAGCTGAGGAGTTTTAAACGCGATAGACGCAGTGGGCAGCGAAGCGGCCGGTCCGACTGTTTGATCCGATAAACATGACCCGACTACGATAACGTTCGCGCCTTCACCGAATGTAAGAAAAATCGCGGGCAACAAGGAGTTATACCTCATCCGACAAAAACGAACGCTGGGTGAACGGCGGCAAGCGAAATTGTCGGGGGGTGAAGACACAAAACAAATGGAGGGAAATTTGTGGGTGCTCCCTGAGAAGAATAGAACGAGAATGAAATGACTATGAACGAAGTGAGTACAAATAGGAAACCCTAATTGGGTTGTACCCCCTATGGGACACCCCACTATAGCCTACACAAATAAGTAAGCTATATGTTCTGACACACCCCCATAGGCAAAGTGGGGGAGAACAAGGGGTCACAAGACCAGTCAAGCAAAGCAAAGCAAAGCTCAGGGTGGATCACAAAGTCACCACACATTCCGAGCACAAGTTCAAAGGCCAGAAGGCCAGTCCACATGCAAGATCATATACAGAGATATACAAGAGTCAAGCAAGCAAGGGCAAGAGTATATATAGGTGAAGGTACAAGCAAGGTAAAGAAGTGAGCAAGTGAGGCAAGATAGGCACAAGACCCAGCTGCGTGCATCAGCGCTGATGATCACAAGGCGCAAGTGCCTTCGTGAAGACATCAGCAGTGTTGGCCTCAGAGGCCACGTACGCAAGTCGCAACTGTCCACGCTGCTGTAGCTCACGAGCAAGAAAGTAGCGGAGAGCAATGTGCTTTGTCCTGTGCTCCAGTCGCTGCTCTCGACACAAGGCCAGCATGGCCTTGTTGTCTAGGTACAGGACTAGAGGAGAACGAGGCGGCTCTCCAAGGTCGGTCAGCAGGTAGGTCAGCCAGCAAAGCTCCTGGGCAGCCATAGCCCCGGCGTAGATCTCAGCCTCACAACTGGAGCCGAGGACAGAAGACGAGCGGATAGCCCGCCACGAAACAGAGCCGGAACCAAGGCTGAAGGTGTAACCCTGTGACGACCGCTGCGTAGCCTGGTCGTCAGCCCAAGAAGCATCTGCGTGCCTAGTGAGAACCACTGGACTGCGCCCTCCAAGCACTAGGCCCATGCCCGACGTACTGCACAAGTAGCGCAACACCCTCTTCGCTGCAGCCATGTGCTCTGGTCGGTGTCTCCCGGGAGCAACATAGCGTGCAAGAATGCTAAGAGGGTATGCAAGGTCAGGTCGTGTGCAGGTCATCAGGTACATGAGGCAGCCAACAAGCTCTGCATACGGGCCACTCGACTCTACGGACTCATCCGAAGGCAGAGCTGAGAGCGAGTGGCGAGTAGACAGAGGAGTGGCCTGAGGCGAGGAGTACGTGAAGCCGAAGCGCTGAAGGACCTGCTGCACCATGTGTGACTGAGTCAGGGTAATGGTGCGGCGTGCTCTGTCCCGGGTGATCTGCAAGCCAAGGTAGCTACGCAGTTCACCCAGGTCAGTGCACGTGTGTCTCTTCTGCAGCTCGGACTTGACGTAGGTGAGTCAGCTGTGTCAGCTGTGGCAAAGACCAAGTCGTCGACGTACACGAGGATGTAGAACGGCGGCAGAGAGGTGTCGGTGCGCAGAAACAGCGACGGGTCGGCAGTAGAAGGAGCAAACCCAAGTGCCGCCAGCGTAGTCCTCAGTGTGTCGTGCCACTCACGTGGCGCCTGGCGGAGACCGTAGACTGGACGCCGGAGACTCCAGTGGGTACCAGGAGGGAAAGACCCAGTGAAGCCAGGTGGGCGACGCAGCCAGATCTCCTCGTGCAGGCTGCCCTGCAAGAAAGCAGTGCTGAAGTCGAGAGAGTGCAGCTCGTAGTCACGGTGAGCAGCAACGTGCAGCAGTACCCGAAGAGTGGTCATCTTCGGGGTGGGAGAGAAGGTCTGAAAGTAGTCAACTCCCTGCCGCTGACTGAAGCCACGAGCCACGTAACGCGCCTTGAAGAGAGGCGGAGAACCCGGCGGCCGCTTCACCCTGAAGATCCACATGCCACTGACTATGTTCGCCCCAGGAGGGGAAACAGCGTCAACTTAGGTGCCTGTGGACTTCCAGGAAGCCATCTCTGCATCCATAGCTGCCTGCCACTGAGAGGAGTAGGGACCCTCTATCGCCTCCGCGTAAGAGCGCGGAGTCGGGATGTCTAGTGCATCCGGGTCTCCCTCAAGGGCGAGCAGTACAGACGCGAGATGAGGTGAAGCGGCGGCCAGACACTGGAACTCCTCCTGCCTGTCCTCAAGGACGTCCGTGCCAAGGGCACACTCACCCCCGACGGACGGAGGACAGGCAGACTCAGACTCAGCGACAAGAGTAGCAGCGTAGTCTAGACGTCAGCGCGCAGCAAAGTCAACGAGCTCAGTGACAAGGGCAGACGCAGCAGAAGACTCGAAAGAAGGGTCAGTGACGGCAGTAGCAAGGAGACGCGTGACAGTAGGACTGGCAGCACGAAGAGAGTCCGACTCCGGGTCGGCAAGAGCAGGAAGAGAGGAAGCAGGAGGAGAAGGCAAAGGGGCACGCAGAGGAGCAGTAGACGGACGCAGAGACATCCGGTGCGTGCCAGGGACAGGAGGAGGACGCTGACGCGAACCGCGACCACTAGTGCGCGCAGTACGAACAGGCGACGCAGGAC